AGAAGTTTATGCAACAAACCCTACACGTCTTTCCTCCTTGGCGCGAGTTCGCCGAGTTGCCGACACCCACACGTCTTGCGACAAGCTACCCCCAGTTCGGATCATCCTAACAGTGATAGTTGCTGCTGTGTGTGTCGACAGAGTAACGTAGAACAATTTGATTGGACAGTTTGAATTGCGGGACTGTCGGCGTTGCAGATCGCTGAGTAGCCACATATTATCAGAACAGCGAGGAACGTTCTGTAGGAATGTTCCTCGTGGATGGTGCATTACCGCGTGTGTGTGCTTTGCGGATAGTGCATCAGCCAGAGGATTCGTGGTACGTTGTGAAGTACGTTAGCTCCTGTTGAGTCTTTGTGTTCGGATATTATTGTGTTCTGCTTTTGTGCTTTGGTCGAGCGACATGGGTGGTGCTGCGGTGCTGCGGTGCTGCGGTGCTAGCCCCACCCTCGCTCACCCCACCTTTTGACCTGTTCTCCCGAACCAAGGTCTCATCAATACAACATCTTTTCCCCAGAAGCCACGAGTTTACCGTCACGCTATAGCGAATCAGTCGACTGCTGCTTGTCCCCTCGGACTGTACGTCAAGACTGAACGGAGGAAGATTGATCACCTTGCTTCGTGATGAGTGGGCCTGCTGGGGATCATGTGGATGACCCACCTCCGGGTGATTCGCAGAATGTTATTGGTGGTGAGAGACTGGATTCGATCGAGACACACGGTGTGGAACGGAGGAGAGCACGAGAGTGGAAGGAAGGATGCAACCATCAAGGTGCTGTACAAGAAGGGTGACCGGTCCAACTGAAACAACCACAGGTCGATTTCGCTACTTTCTCACGTAGGTAAGGTCCCCATCAAGATCATCACCAACCGTCTAAGCGCCTTCTGCGAAGCCAACAACATCCTCCCGGAAGAACAGTGCGGATTTCGACCCGGGCGATCCACCGTCGACATGCTGTTCGTCGTGCGCCGCCTCCAGGAGCTGGGGCGGAGAAAGAAAATACCGCTCTACATGTGCTTCGTCGACTTGAAGAAGGCGTATGATTCGGTGGACCGAGAGATGCTACTGAAGGCGCTGGCCAGGGCCGGGGTTCCCGCGAAGCTGATCGAAGTCATCCGNCCGCCTCCAGGAGCTGGGGCGGAGAAAGAAAATACCGCTCTTCATGTGCTTCGTCGACTTGAACAAGGCGTATGATTCGGTGGACCGAGATATGCTATGGAAGGTGCTGGCCAGGGCCGGGATTCCCGCGAAGCTGATCGAAGTCATCCGCCAATTCCACGATGGAATGCGGGCCCGGGTGCGCATGGACGACGGAGAACTATCGGACTGGTTCTTCGTGACACAGGGCGTGCGACAAGGGTGTGTGCTATCCCCACTGCTGTTCAACATCTGCTTCGCTGAGGTCCTCGAGGTCGTTGTCATCCGATTCAGCGAGGATGATGTTGTTCTTCTGCGGAGCCTGGTGTACTTGAAGGAGGAGAAAACGGAAGCGCGGGGGGGGGGAGGAGACACCCCTTTACCGAGCACGGAGGGCAGTATGGGGGATGCTGTATGCCGATGATGCCGGCGTCGTATCGAGGTCTGCAGAAGGACTCGCGAGAATGATGACCATCATCGTTGAGGTGTTCGGGGAGTTCGGGCTAACGGTGTCGGAGAAGAAGACGGAGACGCTCCTGATGCGCGCAAAGGACAAGCCGACTACAACATCACAGCCCACCCCGCCTCCACCACTGACCATCGAAGCCGCGGGACAGAAATACGCCCAGACGACCGAGTTCCGGTACCTCGGTGGCCTCGTCAACGAACATGGCGACCTCACCCGAGAGATCAACTACAGGAGCAGAGGAGCGTGGGCGTGCCTCAGGCGATATGGCCGGGAGCTCTTCGACAGACCGCAAGCGCCATTCCGACTCAAGATCCGCCTGCTCCAGGTGGAGGCCATGGAGGCACTGCTGTACGGCTGCATGACATGATCACCACTCAGCGGCCACTGTCAGACGCTGCGGTCGATACATCACCGACTGCTCCTTAGAGTTATCGGGTACAAGCGCAAGAAAGACACCTACCGGCAGCTCTCTTACGCCTAGACGCTGAAGAGGGTCGAATGCCAGAGCTTTGAAGCCACGATCCGACAACGACGCCTACTGTTCGCGGGAGCATTGGCAAGGCAGCCGGACGGGCGACTCCCGAAACGACTGATGTTCGGCGAACTGGCAGGGGGGAAGAAGCGACGTAGGGGGGGACAGGAACAGAACTGGCCGAAGTGTGTGCTCGACGACCTGAAGGCATTCGGGGCCGACCACGGATCTACGCAAACCGATCCATGTTGTCTCGGAATCCCGGTACCGAAAGACACGGCACCGAAGTTAAAGTGGACGGAAGCCGCGAAGGTGGAAGGGGGAGTACCCTGGCATGCGGCGGTGCTGCAGGGAGCTGAGAGGTTCATGACCTCCTGGCACGAGAAGGAAGAAGAGGCCAGCCGACAACGGGCGCTCAAACGAAACCACAAACCACCAACCAATGGGGCGGGAGGGGGGCAGGAGACGGACGAGACGGCGAGGGAAGAAAGCAAACGAGAAGAGACGGTGGTGGGATACGTGCCGGATTGAATTTCTTTTAGCCAATTCCCACCGCCCAACGCTGCACCATTGCACCAACCCCCCACTAGTGATGACGTACCATTACAATGTGTCGCTGGTTGGTGGCCATGTTTGCGTGTTTACTTGTTCGTTAGTGGCCTCTCCACCGTGTGCCTTTTCCTTTCTCTTGTTTCTTGTTATTTTCGGTCTGGCCCCTTTTTGTCTTCACTGTTTTTCATTTTATTTTCTCTTTCCTTTGTACTGCTTCCTTTTATTTTCTTCTCTTTTGCTCTCTTGTTCTATTTTTCTCTCTTTCTGTGCCAGATGGCCTTGTCTCTGCTTGCGTCGTGAAGTACCAAGATTGAACGAAGGGGGTATACCTCATTCTCTCCGGCCTGCGATGGTGACTCCTAGTCTCAGTTGTTACCTCGAATAGCGCGCAGAGGGAGTGGACGACTCCAGAATATCTGTTGATTTCTATTGACTTGCGGACCCCTCAGGGCCAGTTTATTTGGGTGTACATTTAGGGTGCGTTAACCTGTGACCACGGGAGTCGACCGCGTCGAGCGTTGGATCAGTACAGACATACGAAGGTACTGGGTAAGGAGAGATCGGAACGGTTTTTAATGTGAAGACAACAACAACAACAACAACAACAACAACAACAACAACAACAACAACAACAACAACAACAACAACAACAACAACAACAGTTGTTGCAGCTCACGAGCATCATCAAGTCGCTTGTTGGGCAACGAGGTGATCAGGGGGAGTCCTCTGTTCCAGTGGCTGCTGCACCCGGAGGCGGCGGAACAGAGTAAGTTGGTGCACATCAATCGGATGTTTCTGGCAGGACTGCGGGAGGTACGGGCAGCAGTGCCCAAGTCCTTGGCATGTCCAGCATGTGGGTTGGGAGGAGTAGTCTTGCAGACTCAGGCTTGAACCTTCGTGCAATTGTTGTATGTCGTTCCTCTGCTGGTGGTACTGCCAGCGGCGGAACCGACGCCGGTTGGCATCCTGCGGATGCTACCGGCAGGACTGCGGGAGGTACGGGCAGCAGTGCCCAAGGCCTTGGCATGTCCAGCGTGAGAGTTGGGAGTAGTAGTCTTCTAGACTCAGGCTAGAACACTCATGTATCTGCTGTAAATCGTCCCTCTGCTGGTGCTCTGCTGGTGCTGCAAGCTTTGGTTCGATGGGAACTGTTAGTGGGGCTTTAGGTAGCCAGTCTTTCAGTTCGGGAACCAACCGTTATTAATGGGGCTTTAGGTAGCCAGTCTTTGGGTTCGGGAATGGTTAGTGGGACTTTAGGTAGTCAGTCTTCCATTCCGGGAATGGGAAGTGGGGCTTTAGGTAGCCAGTCTTCCATTCCGCCCCCATCTACTCCATCGAGTGAGTGGTGGGGACGTGTCGCCAGTGGAAACAAATATATTCCTGGGGCCGGCATTTTTGACACAGGAGAAAACTTGCTGACTACTCCGATAGTGTAACTTTATTGAATAGGATACCCGCACGAGTTCAAACACCGGCTGGATCACTTTATTTCGCAAAAAAAGTGCACCTAGAACTATCAGCGGTAGGCGAGGGGTCCGTCCCCGGAGATCCAAGCCATACAAACCCAAGTGATCCAGCAGCAGGGTGCAAATGAGCTCTGAGCATATCTTTTATTCGATAAAGTTACACCATTAGACTAGTCAGCGCTGACTTGTCTAATGGTGTAACTTTATCGAATAAGGAGTCCTTTCAATGTTCCCAAAGCTTGTGTTGTTGACGGGACGAACTTGTCGTATTCGTCATGGTCACATTTGTTTCTACTTAATGCCCGCCACAACCAAAATCTGAAAAAGGCTTTTGTATCTGAGCTACATGAAGAGATTCCGATTGCAAGCATTGAATTCGATCTGACCCCCTGGGTAGAGAAGGGATCCAACATCGGAATGCTGTGCCAGACTGAGACACCATGGTGGATTTTGTTCGACTATTTCGAGAAGAACTCTCTCAAACCATGGCTAGGCATGAAGGTTCCCCCAGCAAGGCATTTCGAGTGTTGAAAATCACTTTCGACCCTTGAGCCAGAGCACTGTTTGGAACCCTCGAGTTTTCTGTAGAGTTGGAGAATGTATTGTAATCTCCCAACTTGGGATACAACCTCTTTTCTCCCAGCGCAGTGTTTGATAGCGATTCATGAAAAAGCCTCGGTGGTCTTGATGGTGTGATGACTGCTTTCGACGGAACAGTTATTTTTCAGAACTTTCATCGCAGGTTGTTGCTACTGTGTATCGTCTGGGAGATGAATCTGTTGGTTCGGTGTTTGCTGCCTTCACCCCTCTATACCCCAAAGTAACGAAGATGGATGCGAACGACATTCATAACGTAAATGATCATTCACATAAGGGATTTCTTCGTGCAACTGCAAAGCGACTGGGTATTGAGTTGACTGGTAAAATTCATGCGTGTACGGGATGTTCGATGTCGAAGGCATTGAAGGGATTGCTCATGAAACAAATGTCAGCGATAATTCGCTGTGCACTAGCAGCAGTACGATGCTGCAGATGCCAGGAGGCTGTGTAGCCTACCTCAGAGGTTCACACTCTGTGCGTCTCCAACCGCGAGAGACTCGGAATGGAAATATGAAGATGCTTTGAATAGTTGCTGACTCCCGAGTCAGATGTTGCTGGTACTGAAGAGGAGTGAGAGGAGTGGGCGAGCTTGGGGCTGCACCACTCTTCTCGAATACCGGACAAATAAACCAATCACACGAAAGATCCAGAATGCTTCCAGAATGATTTCTGGAAGCCCTCCTACGTTCTAGAAGAGTATCAACTACAACCTAGATCTAGAACGCTTCCAGAAGCTTACAGAAGGAACCAGAAGTTTCCAGAAAGGCTTTCAGAAGCTACAGAAGGAACCAGAAGTTTTCAGAAGGCTTCCAGAAGCTACACACGTTCTACGTAGATGTCCCGGTCAACCTTGACCTAGCATGCTTCCGGAATATTTCTAGAACAAGATAATACATGCCAAGGAGAGATGGATTCTTATCTACTGCTACGCAGACTAGTTGCTGCAATCGCATTCAAAGGTCAAGCCGTGTCCGACTACTGGTGGTCTCGACGCACGACTTTCCTGACACGACCCCTCGATCAAGCAACTAGTTCACAATGGTCGACGACATCACCATATCCTTGTCTACCTCGACCCCTCCGTTGGCATCGTATCGAAAATAAATTCCTTCTGGTATGGCGGGTATGGAAGGAAGCTTCACAGATCTTCGATCAACACGAGAAGTCCTTGATCTGCTGAATAATGGAGGCGAATCGGTGCTTTGGGAGGTACTTGGTCGCGACATCAGCCAACTGGTGCTCGCTGAGCCGGTGGTGAAGAGTGATTTGTCCCCGCAGTACTAGCTCCCGGATGAAAAAGAACGGCCAGGGTGTCGTTCCAGAGCGCCGGCGACTGCGATAGGTCGTAGAGGCTCCGTTCTAGTTTGTACACCATGGGTTCTCCCGTCGCGGAGTTCTTGGCGGATGTACCGGGGGCGGGTCTGACGTGCACATCTCTGTCGCAGAGGGCGTTCAGGAAGGCACCGACAACGTCCAGTTGGTAGATGGGCCAGTTGTTGTGGCAGCCAATGGCGCACGTCATGCGAATGCTCCCGATACGGCATACTGCGTAGCTGCGTCCGTAGTCCTGTCCTGGCTCTTGACGATGTCCTCCGACTACCAGGCGAGCTTTGAAGCGTCCGTCCAGCTTATTCTTGTAGACTAATTTCGTTCCGAGGATCTGCTCTCCCTTGGGAACGCTGCTGAGGGGCACCAGATTGTAGACGTTGTCTTCCCGCAGATCGTCCATTTCCTCGCTGCACGCTCCTTTCCATTCTTCGCGCTGGGGAGAGCTCATGGCTTCGTCGTAGGTGTTGGGGATTTTGATCGCTTGATTCGTCTNTAGGTGTTGGGGATTTCGATCGCTTGATTCGTCTCCTCCAAGATCCCGTGGTGTTCGTGAGTGGTCGTGACGTAGGCGTGAGCACGCGGCACCGTGAAGGGGTCTTCCGCAACGTGGGCGAAATCCTCAGTATCGCCAGGGCATGGGAGCTGGGCTTGATCGGCCTTCTCAGCCAGCTGAGTGAAGGAAAGACCGGATGGCTCCACGCGGCCCGTTGTAGCATGGGCTCGACCGCGGTCGTTCATGGTGACTTCCAGATTGGCAGGAACCACGTTGACGTCAATATGATCGTCGCTGGTGGGCTTCCCGCGCGTGCTGGCTCTGGTGACTTGCAGGCGCCGCATGCCGGAGGATCCAGTTGATGCAGAAGTGTCCGGTTCAGTCGGGTTCGACGATGATGGACTGGGGCTAGATGCGTGGGTCTCGGATGACGATCCAGCTGGCGTCGATGGGAGATGTGGTGATGGAGCGTCCCCGTCGCCGAGATCTTGCCCGTTTCCATGTTCGTCCTCGTGCCCGTCCAGTTCTAGGCGAAGCTTCTCCCGAGCGAGATTGTCTTGCTGCATCTTCCGGACTTCTTGCCGAAGGAGTTCGTTCTGCGCCGTGAAGTCCAGGTCGCTCGTCGAGTGGGGGCTGTCCAGCAGGGAGGTGAAGCTCAGCACGTCGCTCTCGTACCCGTTTGCTTCAGTGGAATACTGGATGTGCACTGAGAGGGGTGGAGATTCGATGAAAGTCACATTCCGACTCTCGACCACTGCCCTGTTGGATGGATTCAATACCCGGTAGGTCTGGCTGTCGAGGCCGAAACCACATAGCTTGCCTTCGAAAGCTCTGTCGTCCAGCTTCTTTCGGTATCTCTCGTGGTGTACGAAGGCGCGCGCTCCAATGACCCGAAGTCCCGAGAGATCAGGTGACTTATTGTGCAACTTCGAGTATGGCGTAGCTCCTCCCAGTGCTGAGTGTGGGGACCTGTTCAACAGGTATGCTGCAGTCAGCATTAACTCCCCCCATATGGACGGCGGAAAATCTTCATCCTTCAGAAGACACCGGGTGACTCCGGCCAGGGTTTGTCCGTCCCGTTCCGATACACCAATTTGTTGAGGGGTGTTGGTGGCGGCGTATTCGAGCTTGATAGCTGAATTCTTGCAGTAGTCCCGAAATTCGGATCCGGTGTTCTCGCCTCCCTTGTCGCAGCGGATGGTCTCGATCCGGTAGCCTCCTGCCGCTGCGACGCACATGTTGTACGTGTGCACCGCCTCGGTCGTGTCAGATTTCTTGCGACGCAGGTACACTTCTTTCATTTTCGTGT